CAGAGCAGAAAGAAAGCACTATGTGATCCTCAGTAGACATTGTCAACCTACTTTTACTTCCTGCCTGTTCTTGGAGACTGGGAGGCTGAGAGGCAATTGCCTCCAGAGGATTTCTGAGACCATATTTCCTGAAAAGATGAAGCAACCAAACATGATTGTGTACTATGCACAGCACAGGGTCCTTGGGTTGAGCCCTCTCCTCTCTCCACACCCTTACTCAACAGTACTGACCACCAGGATGCTGTACATCCGAGTGTCCTCTTGCTCCAACAGTGCCATGCAGATGCATGTGAATGTGACCTGTGTGCACAGCAAGTGCCTATGAATACCTGGAAAAAGCAGAAAATAAGTGTCATCCCTCAAATATCTGTGGGGGACTGCTTTCAGAATCCTCTGCAAATACCAAAATCCTCAGGTGCTCAAGTCCCTCATTCGAAATGGCCTCATATTTGCGTAGAACATAGGCACACCCCTCCCATATATATACATTTTAAATATTTTTTTAGTTGTTGATGGACCTTTATGTGATGCTAGGAAATTGAACCCAGTGTCTCATATATGAGGTAAGTGCTCAAATTATTTCTAGATGGCTTTTAATATTAACTATGTAAATGCTACATAAATAGTAATTATACTGTATTCTTTAGGGAATGACAAGAAAAAGAATCTGTACATGTTCAGTATGAACACAACCGCAGTAAGGCTAACTACATAGTACATGTCAGCAATTTTTTCMCCCAGACATTTGCAACCTGTGGTGGATTCTGAGGATACCACAGAGGTTCATTCCCAGTGTATGCAAGAATTTAATTACAAAGAATTTTTAATGTGGTTGATAAAAGTAGTTGTTTAACTAAAGGATGTACACAAATAGGTCAACACAACAGGGCTCCAAGCATGCTGTGTCCTACCACCAAAGGAACTCTGGGGCCTTCCCAAGAAACAGTCACTCACAGCATCAAAAGGACCGGGGAAATCTCCGACCAAGAAACAAGCTTAGACACACACTTGATAGACTGCCAAGACTTTGTACAAAGGAGAAAGTAAGTCAGCATGATGCACAAATCTTTCTGAGGCAAACTGCTGAAAACTCAAGGGCCCATGTGTTTTCTTGGCCACTCTACTCTRAATCCCACAGCCTGTCCCCACACACAAATATTAAGCAGTGTTTGATGCATTCCCCTAGGAACTCAGGTGAGGAACGACGCCTATGCAGGCAGAACAAAAGCCAAGCAGTGAGCTAAGGAAGCTCAAAAAATGGCAATGTGGGAATGGGAGAAGCAGAAGGCTGCAGGGACAGGGGATGTAGCTCAGTGGTAAGCTCTAGGTGGGAGGGGAGGAGGGGAGATACGGAAAGGACTATGAGGCCTTCCAAGGAACCAAGCAAGAGCAGAAGAAACAAATCTGGCCTCAAAGTCAGAGTCCACCACCCCTGTGAGCACCCACCCTTTAAATACCTAGGATAGTCATAGGCTGTATTAAATCAATTGCTGCTGCTTCTCCACGGTGGGATGAGTTGATTGGCAGATCCTATACAAGGGAGTGAACACTGTCCACAGCAACAAGATCTGTGTGTGCAGTTTGAGATCCTTGTTGGTTCTCCAGGCCCATTCTTAGCCTCCCCAGTGTGAAGCTTGGACTCCCATGGGCTGGAATACTACTTTGTAATGATGTCACATGTATCTGGCTGCTGTCGGTATCTGAGACTTTATGTCTTAAGTATCTGAGACAGAGTTCTCAGAAAGCTGGTGAAAAAACGAAGAAGTGGAAAGTGTGGGGGATTGTTAATTACCTAAGTTCAGAAAAGCAATGATAAAACTAAAAAAAAATAATTCAGTGAAGCAGCAGGTTATAAAATTAAGACACAAAATCAGTAGTTTTCATATACACAAATTGAATAGAAGATGTAATGGCATAAAAAATATTACTTCTGATGAACAATTAAATACCCAAGGGAAACTACATAWTGTTTTAATTGGAGAGGTCAAGAGGGGTTTTATGAAATGTTAATCCTTCTTTCTTGACTTGGTGGTTTTAAGGATGTGTTCTTGTGATAACTAACGGAACTGTCCACTCATTAACTAAGCACCTTTTTTAATGTTTATGTCACATTTCAATAAAACCTYTTTTTAAAAACCTCCTGTGTTATAATCACCATACAAATTACCTCGATACTTACTAATACAGCCTGGCAATTTCACATTCCTAGAGAAAGTAATGCTCCAAAAAGTATGCACAAGATATCGTGTAGCAGCATTATCCGTAACATGGAAAGATGGAAACAACTAATTGTACCATCAGCAGAAGAGGAAATAAATTGATATAAAATAGAGGACCACTATCTCATAGTAAAATTGAAAGTATAGCTCTTTTCATCCTGATTCACTGATAAACCACCCCCACTACCAATAATCTGGCCACCACTGCACCTAACTTGAATTCTGCAATGGCCTTCCAGCTGGCTTTTGGTGTGTACCTTGGTCCTGTCATCCTTCTGAAAATATAAACCAGGTAGTGATCAGTCCTCTGTTCAAAACCCTCCACTGACTACCTGCCACACTGAGAATAGAAGGAAAAGTTCTTCCAGTTAACTCACAAAACACTCCATGATCTGTTCCCAGGGTACAGCTCTGACCTCATCAATCGTGAGGCCCAAACTTGCTCCACTCATCCCACTGACACCTCTACTGTTGCAAGGCTGGCCCAAGCAGAGTTGTATGTCACTTTTGAACCACCAAGAGTTCTCATCCGCAGATGATTCTGTCACATGCCCTCAGCATACCTCTGCTCAAATGTCCCTTTAAGTGAAAAGCCTTCCTTACCCACCCAATGGCTCCACTCTTGTCATCACCATGCTTAATGCTTCCTCCCACTATATTTGTCACACCYGATGCACAACATCCTTACTTATCAGATGTCCCAATCCCACCTAAAACATAAGCACCAAGAGGGCAAGAATCCCCAGTCCAACCCTGGGCATTTCAGACCAATGGCTGAGGYAAGAGGCATGGACTCTAGAGCCAGATCCAGGGTTGAAATCCAAGCACTACTGCCTGCCAACAGGCTGGCTTCAAATAAGCAACCAAGAATCTTTTGTCTGAGATTTCCCCTGTGCAAAATGAAGATGCCGACAACACTTGCTTCCTTGGACTTTTGTGAAAACTAGCAGCAGTCCCTGACTTAGAATGGTTTGACTTAGGACTTTTTGACTTTAGGATGGGTTTATCAGGACGTACCTGAACAGTAAGCCAAGGAACACCTGTGGACTTCTATCAAAAAATAAGTCAAGAAAATAAATGTATAAGTATATCAAATACTTAAAATATAATTTTAAAATCTGGTTTAAAGAATTCAAAAAACTTTATCCAATAATTCAAAATATACACATTATACCCAAATACAAAAGTAGAAGTTATCAAAACTCACCAAATACCAAATGCTTCTTCYCACCAAGAAATAAAGCAAACAAAAATAATATTCATAGCGCCATAAGCCAGTAATCAGTTTTATTTCTTCTCATGTAATAGGAGGTCTGGAATTAACAAACCCAGGGCTGGTACAGACACTCRGAGGCCACAGGGAAGCCCTGCTCACTGTGACTTTGCTGCAGCATCCTCCTTAGACTGGCTTTTGTCTTCACAGCCACAAATCTTTCAACACTAGGAGCTGAATCTCCTTGCAAGGTGAGACGTAGGGAGAAAAGAACCAAATGTGGAGAGAAGAATCTARGTAAGAAGGACTATTTTTCAAGAGCTTTTTCTCAGAAACCCATACAGTGGCCTCTGCTTATTTGCCAATGGCCAGGGTTATGGGATGCAGACAGTACCAACTGCAAGAAAATCTGTTTAAGAGACATTAAAAAATAGCACACCTTACGAATATGAGATTTGAATTCTTTTGATATGGAAGATGACAGTGGATGCAACTAGAAGTCTATGCCATTCTTGGCTGGACAGCAGGCCACAAACATACCAAAGGATCCATATAATGAAGACTTCATGCTTTGATCACAATGCATCTGAAATCAGATACCAGTAATTGGTACTATAAAATACCTATGTCACCAAGTATGTAACACAATTCTAAATATGCTATTGGTCAAGAAAGTTATCCAAAAGGAAATTAGATATTTTAAGAATGAAGCTACAGTAAAAATACTATATACAAACCTTTTGTGATGAGGMCTAATGGTTATTTAGAGGAGCATAACCTTAAAAATAAAGACTAGAAATTCATGAGCTAGGGCCTGTTTTCATGATGAAGGACTGAGAAGTGCAATCCTGCGTTCACTGGAGAATACCATCAAAGCTTCTCTCCCAGTGAGAATTCTCATTTGCACAAGTAAAGGGACACATAGGGATTATCAGCAATGTTAAGTTCTTACAAATTTCTTCAAAGAACCATGTTAATTAAAAAAAAAAAAAAAAAAAAAATTAAAAAGAAATTTCTTCTAGTTTGGTGCTGATGTTAAGTACAATTATTCTTAACCTCAGCGTACTGTTATTGTAGGGCACACAATTCTTTGAAGTGGGGGGGCAGGGGCTCCTGGCACTGTAGGATGCTTGGCACCATCCTAATGTCTTCCCACTACCTGTCAGTGGCTCCTCCCCCAGTAACAACCAAAAATGTCCCCTGGGGAACAAACCCTACCTGTTGAGGAGCACTGCTGTGGACCAAGGCTCAGCAAAGCTTTTCTATAAATAGCAAGCATTTCAGGCTTTGAGGGCCACAGAGGGTCTCTGCACAAACTCTCCTCTTAAAATGGAACAACTCTTCTTAGCTTATGAACCATACAAACACAGACAGCTGGTTAGTTTGCTCACCCCTTTTATGGACKTCCCACATTCCTCACCCCATAGATTTTTCTCTTCAGTGTGATTTATCTCATGAGGAATGGAGTGTGAGAATGAAAAGATTTCCCCCATCACTGCACTGACAAAAATTCTCCCTAATGTGTCCAAAAGGTTGAGAAAGTGTTGCTGAAATTATTATTATTATTATTTTTTTTTGGTGGGGATGGAACCCAGGGCCTCATGCATGCTAGGCAAGCACTCTACCACAGGGCCACAGTCCAGCCTGCTGAAGTTCTCATGTGTTTACAAACTAGACGTACACTGAAGGCTTTTCCACACCAGATACAGCCCCCCACGGTGTTGTTCTCCCAACTGATGAGAAACAACTTGTCTTCTCACAGGCTTCACACCAACTGGATTTCTCCTACGTTCAATGAACTCTTTTGTGCTCTGTAAGGTGAGAGCTTCTCCCTCACATCTGAAGGTTCCTTTCTGGTCCGAGTGTTCCCGTCGCCTACTGGAGTGCTCACTGGAGCCTCTTCCACACTGAGGCCGGGAAGAGCTTCTCTCCCCGGTGCGTCTTCATATGGCTCCTGAGGGATGAGTGGTCGCTGAAGGCCTTCCCGCAGGCAAGGCACTCGTAGGGCTTCTCCCCGGTGTGAATCCTCCTGTGCACGTTGAGGTTGGAGCCTATGCTGAAGGCCTTCCCGCAATGGTCGCACTCATAGGGCTTCTCTCCCGTGTGGCTCCTCATGTGGGTCTTCAGGGTGGACTGGTTCCTGAAGGCTTTCCCGCACTGCCGACACTCCACACGCTTCTTTACCAGATGGATGCTCATGTGCCTCCTCCGCGACAGATAATCACCAAAGATCTTCCCGCAGGCTGCGCATTCATAGCGTCTCTCTTGAGTGTGGATCTTCCTGTGTGCAGTGAGGTTGGAGCTGGCGCTGAAGGCTTTCCCACAGAGATCGCACCCGTAGGGCTTCTCTCCCGTGTGAGAATTCATGTGTGTCTTCAGGATGGACTGGTTTCGGAAGGCCTTCCCACACTGGCGACATTCCACTGGTTTCTTCACAATATGGATTCTCATGTGTTTCCTCCGTGACAAGAGGTCACCAAAGGATTTCCCACATTCTTTGCATTCATAGGTTTTCTCCACCATATGGTTTTTCTTGTGCAAATTAAAGTTAGACTTCCAGCGGAAGGCTTTGCCACACTGTGTGCACTCGTAGGGCTTCTCCCCGGTGTGATTCCTGACGTGCTCTTTCAGGTGTGAGGGGTGCTGGAAAGCTTTCCCACAGTCCTGACACTCATAGGGCCGCTCCCCAGTGTGTGTTCGCTTGTGTGCAATGAGGTGGCAGCTCCTGCCGTAGGCCTTGCCACACTCATCACACTTGTAGGGTCTCTCGCCAGTGTGGACCCTCATGTGGATCTTCAGGGCCGAGAGGGTGCGGAAGGCGTTCCCACACTGACTACAGTCGAAGGGCTTCTCTTTGAGGTGTGTCCGTGCGTGGCTCCTGAGGGCAGAGGGGTCGTTGAAGGCCTTCCCACAGTCGCTGCAGCCATAGGGCTTCTCCCCAGTGTGGATCCTCCTGTGCCGGGTGAGGGAGGCGCTCGTGGTGAAGGCCTTCTGGCACTGCTGGCACTCGTGCATCTTCCTCCCATCATACACGTTCACGTGCTGAGTGAGGGGCRTCCTGCTCTTGAAGGCTGCCCCGCAATGGTGGCGATGGTAGGGCCTCTTGCCGGGGTGTCTCCCCATTGGCTGAGTAAGATGAGCACCCATGCTGAAGACTTCAAACAAGTGGGCGTATTCAGTGGACTTCTCCCCAAGATGAGCTCTTTCCTGTTGGTTAAGAGAGGAGAGCTGACTGGGTTATTTTCCACAAACACTGCATTCTTCCTCTTTTTTCTTTTGGTACTRGGGATCGAACCCATGGCCTCATGCATACTAAACTCGGGCTCTACCACTGAGCTATACCCCAGCMCCTTTCAGCCTAAACATTCAAAGATAGATGCTCACCACTGGGACTGAAGATGCCATAATCCGCAGTGCCAATGTGCTGTTCCTGTCTCACTGGAACTCTATCCAAGAGGAAAGGCAAATGCTATACTATAAGGCTCCATGTGTGCTACTTTTTCAAAGCTTTTTTGCAGCTTGTCTACTCTTTAAAACCAAATTAAGCTAAACACGGCAATACACATCTGTAATCTCAGCTAGCTACTCCAGAGGCTGAGGCAGTGGTATCCTAAGTTTGAGGTCTGCCTTGACAACTCAGTGAGACTCTGTCTCCAAATAAAATGTAAAAAGGGTTGGGATGTAGTTCAGTGATAACAGCACTTGCCTAGCATATGCAAGCTGCTAGGATCAATCCCCAGCAATACAAACAAACTAACAAACCCTCACACACACAACCAAATTGAGCTCAAATACTCAACATCTAAGATAAGTTATGGATTTTGTATTTTGGTTTTTATTTTGTTGTTGTTGTTGTTTTTGGTTCTAGGAATTAAACTCAAGGGTACTTTACCTCTGAGCTACATCCTTAGCTCTTCTTATTTTTTATTTTGAGACTGGGCCTTGCTAAATTGCTACGGTTGGCCTCAAACTTGCCATCTCCTGCCTCTGCCTCCAAAGTTGTAGGGATTACAGGTGTGTGCCACTGTGCCCAGCAAGTTATAAAAAATATTTATCCATCAAAATTCTTGAGTAAGTCTGAAGCTAAATTTAGGATTTTTCTCCAAATTAAAAAAAAAAATTGCATCTGTATTAAGTACATATACATTGTTCTTGTCATTATTCCTTAAATAACACAGAAAAATGAATATTTAAGTATCATTTTTTTCTACATTGGTTATTAAAGACAATCTAGAGATAATTTAAAGCATACGGGAGGATGTGTGTAGTTCCAGGCAAATACTATGTCATTTTATATGAAGGACTTGAGCATCCGCAGATTTTGGTCTCCATAGGAGACCTGAAACTGTTCCACAGGTCTCGTTCTTAAGCAGCTTTGCCAACTCCAGCTGCTTCTCTAATGGGGAAGATCCAGAATTATCTCAGGTAAATCTTACCATTGACACACCACTGGATGTTTCCTTCCCAAAAATATCTTCCATGAGGATTGACCACTTGGTCTTAGATGGAGTCTCCCAATCTGAAATAAAATTAGCAAAATACTAACTTGATGAAAAAATAAAATGACAGTGACAAAACAGGCAGACTTTGCAAATACTACCTGTACACAAGAAAACGCAAAAGGGAAGAACACACAATAGCAAAATAATTGTTGAAAATGTGGCTACGTGAGCTGTTTAGAAATGATGGCAGGATAAATTTAAGTCAGTTCAGATAGATATTCAAATACTGCATGATGAGGAAGGCCAAGCATAAAAGAATGAGACAGACAACACAGAAACATTAAATTAAACAGGGCAAGCTGGCCATGGTGGCGCACACCTGTAATCTCAGCAACTTGGGAGACCGAGGCATGAGGACTGCAAGTTCAAAGCCAGCCTTAAGCAACTTGGCAAGGCCCTAAGCAACTTAGTGAGACCTTGTCTCAGTCGTAAAATACCCCTAGATTTAATCCCTAGCACCTCAATAAACAAAGAGGCATAGAGAACCAAGGACTTGTGCGAGAATGACAGCACTTTCTAATTTCCTCAGGTGAYATTACCTAATAGACCTCCCTGCCAAAGTATGGAGGTCATCTGTCCCCCAGAGGCTTATGTGCTGGAGGCCTGGTCCTCAGTGTGGTCATATAAAGGTGGTGGAACTCTGAWGATATAGTAGGGCCTGCTCAGATGGAGAGATACTGTTCTCCTGGGTGAATTAGTTCTGATAAAAGTGGGCTGTTAGGAAATCAGTGACATCGGCCCTTCCTCAGTATCTTGCTTTCTGTCTTACCATAGGATCTTTCCTTCTAAAATACACTCCCTCTGAGATGCCATCTGCCAAACTGTGACACAGTATAATGTGTATGTGTTGGGGGCGGAGGAACGACACTTTCCAGGATGACGAGCCTCCAGTACTGTGAACTAACGAGACCTCTTTTCTTTACACACTACCCAGCCTTGGACATTTTTCTAGAAACAGGAAATGGCCCACGCACTCCCTCACTCCAGTCGCTGCCTAGAGTGGACAGTCTGAAGCACTCCTATTTGCCCTCATGCTTGCTCACCTGGACAGGTGCCGTGCTGACTGGCCCTCTCCTCTGTCCTCGGCTCTTCTTCTTGCTCCAAGTGTGAGATGAGGCTGGGTTTGCCAACCTGATACCCTACTCACAGGGAAAGACATGTTGAGGGAGGACTGTGCAGAGGACAACCCTTCCATTAGACTGCGGCCAACATTTTGATCTTCAGGGTTCTCAAGGTGGAGTCTGACTTAAGAGTAACAAAATGATGGTGCCTCATTTCTAAGAACACAGTGAATCTTTAAAAACAAAAACAAATGAAACCACACCCACACATTTTCTCTCCAAAAGAATGGGGATTTCTTATTTCAGGAGCCCATGTCCAAGCTCAGAACACAAACGTGGGTGTCTCCAAAATCAATGCAACAATCAGGGTTCAAAATCTCTGGGAGACACCAAGTGGGTGGGCACTGGTTCTGCTCATTCAGTCGTGTTTCAAACCCCTGCCTAGTTTCTGAGTCACTGAAAATAYTTGAACAAAAACATCTGGTTCTGGTAAGAACGAATTCTGAATGCGGCCAGGGTTACCTAGTGAAGTGAGGTTGCTATAGTTCTCCAGCATCACATCTTTGTACAGCTTTCTCTGAGAAGAATCCAGCAGGGGCCACTCTTTCTCAGTGAAGTCCACAGCTACATCCTGGAAAGTCACGGATTCCTGAAACACCACACACACCTGGGGTAAGAAGCCTGTCAGAGTTCACAGGAAGATGGAGGAGGCTGAAGACTGGACTTCCAGCTGGTGTGCTCTCAAACATCGTCTCTTCCCCATGAGGTGATCTTATTCTATCTCTCTGCTTCAAACACAATTCTGCGAGGCACCAAGTCTCCAGTACTGTGAACTAATGACACCTCTTTACACACTACCCAGCCTAGCTTTACCCCCAGCCCCAGCCGTATCTAGGATTGAGCATGGGTAGGTCTGAGTATTCTGCAAGCAGGAGAGAAATTCTTGCTACATAAATCACTTCCTGTGACTTCCCCGATACTAGGACAAGCTTYCCTGGCTATTTCTGGGGTCCTGGTCAGGCATCTGCCAGAGTAAGGAGGATCTGAAAAAATTCAATGTGCAACGATGAAGGTATTCTAGAAAACATCTCTACCCCTCAGGGCCCCGAGACCTTGTATACCTGAGAAGAAACACTGGGTGGTGTAGGAGGCTCCAGACCATGGGAAGCAAATAGGTCTAAATTCTGGGGACAGGAATGGTGTTTTGAAGACAGAGGAAATTCTGACTCTTGGAGAAAAGCAGGGCTCTGGGTGGACACAGCTACAGGAGAAAAGAAGCTCCATGAGAATCCCGTGTCTCCCACTAGTGTCTCCACCCAAACAACACGCCACAGACACCCCAATTGTGAACCACAGCAGCCCTGCACCTCTCAAAGATAGAGAGGRGTGCCAGGCCTACCTACCAGTAGGAAGCAACACACAGGCAGAGTATTTCATAGCCCCAATGCCTGGGACCAGAAGTGTTTCACATTGGTGGTGGGGGAAGGYGGGTGTTAGAATGTTTGCACATACATAATGAGGCATCTTGAGATGGGGACCAAATCCAAACACAAAATTCGTTTATGTTTTATAAACATACAAGGACCCTGAAGGTAATCTCATAGAATACTTTTAGTGTGTCTGAACGGGGCACCCCTGTACTGGGCATTAAGCCAAACCCTCTACCACTGAGCTGCATCCCCAGTCTTATCAAGTTGCCCAGGCTGGCCTCAAACTTGGAATTCGCAGGCTCCAGAGCTGGGATTACTAGAATGCACGACCACACCCAGCTGGTATGCCCAAGTTTTAAGTGGAGTTTTGCACTTCTGGCATCGTGCTAGCAGTCAAAAAGATTCAGATTTTGGAGCACTCTGAATGTTTTACTTAGGGATGCTCAATTTGTACAAAGTTTCAATTTCTGAGTGAAGAATGCTGAGAGATGGAGCTATTACTTTGCTCTAATTTTATGCTGAGAGATGGAGCTATTACTTTGCTCTAATTTTATCAAAATAACAAATGGATAGTAACAATCCCCTGTCCACCGTCCCCTCTTCACACACCAACCAAATATCCACTCTCCCCTCTCCCCAATCCCCGAAAACCCTGAATCAGACACAGTCAGTGGAAGGCTCCCATCATTCTTCAACTCGCCCGTCCTCCCCTGGCAGCCCTCCCTCCCCTGGCAGTCCTCCCTGTGGGTGCACGTCCCCTTTATCTCAATGGAGCTGCAGGAGACACTTACACTCCATACCCAAGGGCATGAGTTGACCTAAGAACTTACCAAATGTGGGAGACAGGCCAAGAGCTGCCATCCTGTGAGGGGGAGTCAACTTCCTGGACAGCAGGGCACTGGAGTCCTGTGGAAGTCCTGCAGGAAGCTACTCTCTGGATTCCACGGCTCTCTACAGGCTGGCCTCTGTGGCAATGAGAGGGAAGCAGGAGGTCAGAGGCCGCTGTCTCTCCTGCTCACTGAGGACAATTCTGAGTTTTGTTTTTGGCATTTTCTCTCTGAGCAGCAAGTTGCCCAATCCTTGGCCTCTACCTCCCATAGCTCAAACTTCCGGGCCACGTGGTAGAAGCTCCCTGATTGGCCTCAAGTGGGAAGCCATATCCACTGTCCCCAACTGATGTGTCACCAGGCACAGTTGTGATCTTCCTTTCACCATGGAGGCCGGCCTCACTCAGGATGGCTCTCTGTCTAAGAGGATGCTCCCCTTAGGATACAAGTGCCTCTCTCCAATGCCCTCTGCACCCACACCGGCACACACAGCCATGGATTACGACCTTCACCATTGAAATCAGCCTCACCTCTTCTGGGATGGTACAGAGTTCGCTTGGCATGCACAAGGGCCCTGGGTTCAAATCCCAGCAAACAGACAAAACAAAACAAAAAACCAAAACAAAATAAAAAAAGAACAAGAAAGAAAAAAGAAACCTGATTCTCTGCACAAAATGCCCTGCATATCTTTCTCATCCTATTACCTCTCCCCTCAGAGAAGACTGCAGGCACCTATGCTTCTCATTGCCCCACAAGCCACCACATCACCTCAACCACTTCTTTGTCCAAATTCTTTTCTTTCTGCCTTCTACCCGTCTCCAGCAAGRAAAGCCTGGTGATTCCAGCCATCTGTCTCCTCCCTGAAGGCACTTGGAAAGACCAGTGTGCACACAAAGTCTCCCCGTTGGGGTAAAAACTGAGTTGCAAACCCCAAAAGGACACCTATACTAAATAAGCGAACTAGGCCATCCCACCTTCCAGTCTCCCAGAGACCAAGAAAGTCTCACCAGTGTTTCTGAATTAGAAATCTTCCTCACCATCACTCTTACTTTCAGCAAATAATTTTGGAGTTCACTCCACAGCAATCATATACAGAAAAAAAACATACCCTGGCAAAGAACTGGAGAATGAAGATTAAAAATCAGTTTTSTGTATGCTACATAAAGAAAACTTACATACATTCTTTTAGCACACATAAAGTACCTAGAAATTAATCAAGTAAAAGCTGTGCATAACCTTGACAATAACACAGAGGAAGAACTCATGAAATTCGAAGACTGGAGTCTCTGAATATCCAACCAAATATCCACTCTCCCCTGTGAAGAGAATGGCTACCAAGTGGCTAAGACACAGCCACCTGGCCGAGGCCAGGACCTGGAGCCCCGTCATCTACACTTTCCACGTGGGGCAAAGTGCTCAGGTGGCTCAGGCTTAGAGAGTGATCCCCATCAAACTCAGGCCTGTGGGACCCTTTCACTGTCAGAGCAGAAATTCTGGGCCATTTCTCACCTCAATGACTGTACCACTTTCAGGGCGGCTTATCAGTGCTGAATGAGAGTCACCAAGAATCGGTGGCCCTGAATATAGAGGCACAGCAGGAAGACTGGCTGGATGTGGAGCACAGGTATATAGGAAGAAGCGTAAGTCTATGAACTCAGAAGTTTTCTACGAGACACACAAAACAATGAAAATCAGAACGACATAATAAGGATAAGTGAGAATGGAGATTACTTTTGCAGAGTTAATGAGTCGTTTAACTTCTCCCTCAGCTCTTCATGATGCAGTAAAAGCAGCTCTACTATAGCATTTCCACAAATCTTACTCTACCCTTAAGAGGATCAGGGAYAGGACCTGGGGGGCTACAAGGTGCCAGGGCACATAATTCAAGACAGTGCTTTCAGCTTCACGTGAACACAGAGTTGGCACCAAGGGTGAGTGCCTTCTTGAATCAGCACCCCAGGAACCTCCCATGTCCCACTGAGGCCCAGCCACACTTCTCATAATGACAGATCTGCCTCTTCCATCTAGTTACAGTCCAAGGTTAATTTTGCCCTTCAGAGGATTCCAATGTGAGTTTTCTTTTGTGGCTATAATTCTTCCAATATAACTTTRTCTCTATATTCAACTTTACAATGCTGCACCAGGCCATTCAGAATTAACATATGCAAACACTACAGGCACAAATTATTTTACTAATGTTTGCCCTTGCCACAACTATTTCTACCAGTGTTATCCATGCAAGCAAACATACACAAAGCAACAAATATAGTGAGAACATCATACAACTATTGTTTTCTCAGTCCAGAAGTATGCTGCACTAGGAACTCAACATATCTATGTATACTCCACCATCTTTAAGCTTTCAACCAACTAGATAAAATGTTGCAGGAGCTAAAAAGGTAGGGTCAGATTTGTTTCCAACAGGTAATATAGGTACCCTAACCAAACCTTCCACTCAACCTGTTTTAAAAAAGCAACAGTTAGGTGTGGTGGCCAGGCCTGTAACCCCAGGGGTTCTGGAGGCTGAGGCAGGAGGATTGATTGCCAAGTGCGAAGCCAACCTCAGCAACTTAGGGAGACCCTGTCTCAAAATAAAAATAAATAAATAAATAAAAAGGGGCTGGGGATGTGGCTCTGTGGATAAGTACCCTGAGTTCAATCACTGGTGCCAAAAACAAAGCAATACAAAATACAGACATTTACTATCTTCAAAACTACTCATGGGCTGATAACAAATAAACATACAGTAATTTTAAAAACTGTAATGGATTTTGTTTCCTAGGTATGACCCAAAGTGTGGTCTGCAAGCCAGGGCACAAACATCGCTCGGGGTAATGTAATAATTCTGATACCAGATCATATGCCAGTCCAACTAAGACCTGGTGGAGTGGGCCTAAGAAGTGGTGTTTTAACAAGCTCTACAGGTGACACTATGCATGCTTAAGTTTAGAAAGTAGTTCTTCAAAAGAACATCGGGGCAGCACAGAAAGATGAAGAGTATGAAAACGGTTAGGAGCCAGGCTCAGTGTCTCATGCCTATAATCCCAACTACTCCAGAAGCTGAGACAGGAGGATTGCAAGATGAAGATCAGCCTAAGCAACTAAGCAAGACCCTGCCTCAAAATTTTTTAAAAAGTTTAAAAAGGGGTGGGGATGTAGCTCAGTGTTAGAGTACCCTTGTGTTCAATGCCTAGTGCCCAATTAATAAATATCCTTTGAAAATGCCAATATTCTCAAAATTTAAATATAAATTCAAATTAAAACCCAGTTTGTGGAATTTGGCAAACTTATTTTCAAATTTAAGCTGACGTTCCTAAAAATAATTGCTAAAATTTAAGCACTTCACCTCTAAGTTATTTAGAAATCGCTAAATCATGGATGTGTACTTGCAGCAATATGGAAAAAAAGGATATCTATGAAAGTACTTAAGCATGTGAGTCTATTCACTAATAATTACCAAAATTAACAAATACATTTTTGTATTTACAGGCACAGGCCTGTAATCCCAGGGGTTTGGGATCCCGAGTTCACAGCCAGCCCGGGCAATGGTGAGGTGCTAAGCAATTCAGTGAGACCCGGTCTCTAAATAAAATACAAACTAGGGCTGTSGATGTGGCTCAGTGGTTGAGTGCCTTTGAGTTCAATCACCAGTGCTGCCCCTAAAAACAAACAAACATATTTTTGAGAAAGCATATATAAGCAGTCAAATTCATAAAGAAAATCCTGGAGGAGTTGGGTGCACTATGCTATTCAGAAGGCTGAGTTGGGATGATCACAAGTTGGAAGCCGCCTGGGCGACTTGGGGGCCCTGTCTCAAGAATAAAATTAACCACCAGAAAGGGGTGAGCAAGTACCTCAGTGGCATAGCTCTTGACTAGCACAGTAAAAAGAAGAAGAAAAAAAGAAAGTAACTAAGAAAGTCATGGGGAAGATGAGGATGTGGTATAGGAGCACTCAGTTCTGAGGTTAAATAACCTCTTTCTCGGCCTAGTTTGAGGATTCGCGTTCAATTTCAATTCTCAAACTTTCAATTCCAAGTTTGTGTGTGTGTTTTCACATTTTTTCTTTCTTCTTCGGGGCTGCGGGTGGGGTATATGCCCTGCTTTTTAATGTGCAGGTATTTGAAAGTAAAAGGTTAATTAACACAACATAAGATGGCAGAATTCAATGCAACATATTAGTAATCATCGCTAGTATTAATAGACCTAACTCTTCTCGAAAAGTTAAAAAACCGGATGCGAGACGGAATTTTAAAGCTACCTGTAGGCCACTGACACAAGAATGACAACTAAAATAGGTGCACCGGAGACTTGATACATACAAGGTACTATTCAAGTTAAATGCAAACAACATCGAAAAGCAGCGTGCCCCTAAGAACAGAAGCAAAACCGACAGTCTGTCGCCGCCCCCACCTCCAGGGCTCCATTCCTAACCAGGTTCCCAGCACCTCCGCCGTCACTCAAAGGCTGTGGACTTCCGCTCCAGCACCCGCAGCCTCTCACCCCGCCGACCGCGCCACCTAAGAGGCACTCCTCGCGTGCCTGCCCGGCCGCCCGGCCCTCTCATTCCTGTCCCTGGTCCCCCGCTTCCGGGGCCTCTCGGGTCCTGAGGAACGCGGGGGGTGGAAGGATTAGTGATGAAAACCGGGCTTACAGGGCTGGGGTACAATCGAGGGAGCGGAGGTCTCGGAAGCCGCCGCCGGAGACTAAGTTCATATGACAGGCTCCATATGCTGTAAGGAAGTCGAGGGTCCCCAACAGGTCGAAGGGAGAAGCCGCAGACCTCTCCTTTGCCCATGTGTCTTACAGTAATCGCCTCTCGAGAGTAATGGCTTCCGCTTCACTTCCGCCTTCCAAATCTCGCGGTACCTCATTGGCCGCTTCTAGCCAGGAAGCGCGGACAGAGGGGATTCTGGGAAATGTAGTTCACAAGCTTTAACGGACTTGGCGGAGCTGCCCAAGTGGTGTTTCACCCGCTAGCAGCTTTACCAAGTTGTAGTTGTCTGGCTGCCCCAGGGCTCAGTCCTCAGCCACCTTCTCGTCCTATAATCATTCACTCTATGGTAGCAGTGAATCTCACTGTTTTAACTGTTCATACTGTCCACAACTCTAAATTGCATACTGCCTGAGACATTTGCCACTTGCATATGTTATAGATCTGTTAAAATGCGGCAAATCAATTTCCTCCAAAACTTTCTCAATCCCAAATAGCATATACTCTTTTCCATAGTACCAGGGATTGAACCCAGGAATACTCTACCTCTGAGCTACACATGTGTTTGTGTATGTGGTGTTGGGGAGTGAATCCAGGGCTTCATGCATGCTAAGCAAATGCTCTACTACTGAACTGTATCCCCAGCCCAGCAACTTGATTCAGCAAGTCTGGGGTAGGGTCAAAGAGTCTGCATTCCAGGTGGTGCTGATGCGGCCTGCCCAGCAACTTCACTTTATTAGTACATTGAAATTTGCAAGTATCTAGCACATGGCAATGATCATAAAATCACTGCTCAGAAATTCTCCAAAAACCTGCAACAAAACCAATAAGTAGGCTTGAGAGAAGACATTTATTCAGTGTCTTTTGGGAATTGCAATCCTGGAGACCAAGGATCCAGTAGCAACTGGATTGTATTCTTATTACCAAACCCAGGTTTGGAAACTCATGCCATGGTGTTACCATTGTTTACCGGTGACAAGTCTTTGCTTCCCCAATGCTGAAGTATAACACCAGAGAAGCACTCCGAGGCAAGTGTAGAGTGGAAAGGAGAAGCTTCATTAAAGGACAGCAGAAAAGACTTCTCCCGTAGGAAGAAGGGGACCCAAMAGGTGGAATCCGTGGAAGGGCGCTGTCTCCCCTCTTCATAGCCAAGGTCTTCTTTCAGCTTTCCCGCATTTCTGTCAGCTTCCTTTCCTTTGTTCTGTTATCTTGCCGTGATAGAATGTAGGTGGGGAGACCCAAAAGGTGAGGGGCAGAAGGGCCTGCTGAGTAATCTGGGCAGGAATAAAAATAAAATAAAAATAAAAATAAAATAAAAAACACTAAAAGATAAAAAAGAAAAAAAGAAGGTGATCTTTGGGTAGTTTGGATCCAGAACTTTATTAAACCAGACAGTTCTGCAACTTTGAGCACATTCATTAGACTCTCCATGCCTCTGCTTTCCCATCTGTGACATAGAAACTAAAACTACTTCAATTAAAAATTTTAAATGATATTTTCAAAAAGATACATTAAAGAAATCACTATGTTCCAGGCATGGTGATGCATGCCTATAATCACAGTGGCTTGGGAGGCTGAGACAGGAGGATCACGAATTCAAAGCCGGCCTCAGCAACAGCAAGGCCCTAAGCAACTCAGTGAGACCTTGTCTCTAAATAAAATACAAAATAGGGCTGGGGATGTGGCTCAGTAGTTGAGTGGCCCTGAGTTCAATCTCTGGTACACTATGTAAAGTCCAGGAGAATAGGGTGCAAGAGAGGTAAGCCAGGCACCAGGCCTAGTCTTATCTCTAAAAGGGACTGGGAGAGGCAGCTGAGGGGCCAATGTGAGCTTTTGGTGTTTACTGGCTCAAGAGTAAAGGGTAAGAGTTAAGGACTTCCCGCTTTGGCCTGGGTCCATAAAGGGGTGGTTCTTAGAAACAAGAGAAAATTGGGCTGGGGATGTGACTCAAGCGGTAGCGTGCTCGCCTGGCATGCGTGCGGCCCGGATTCGATCCTCAGCACCACATACAAACAAAGATGTTGTCTGCCGAAAACTAAAAAAAAATATATATATATATATTAAAATTCTCTCTCTCTCTCTCTCTCTCTCTCTCTCAAAAAAAAAAAAAAAGAAAAAGAAAGAAAGCAAAACCATTTGGAAGCAAACCAATTGGAAGTATGGAAGTACATCCAGGTTTCCCATTATCTGGAGCACCCAGGAAAAGCTTGTGTAACTGCAAGTTTCCCATTGAAGCAGACTTTAATGCAAAAAGATGCCCAGAGACAACAAAGGTAATTGCATAAAGATAAAACATCCAGTGCACCAGGAAGGTACGAAATTATGAATTTGCACTCAGTTAACGGKCCTTTGAATGAATTGAAAGCAAAATAGAAACTTAAAAACCACATTCCACATTCTGTGACTTTAACATATATTCCTCCATGATTTACACAAAAAGGAGACCAACAAACAACAAAATCAGCAAAAATCCACAAGATTTTAACATGATTAAAAACTTGATTTATTGGACATATATAGAAAAATGCAATGAATAATTATAGAATGCACAGTTATGTTTTAGCACAAATGGTACATTTACTAAATTTGACCACAAATGCCATGTAAGACAAACATTTAATTTCAAACTGTTGAAATTATATAAAGAATATGACCACAATGTAACTGGGCTACAAATGAACCACCAAAACATATAAGAGGTCTTCCGTATTAAGAAGTGCATTTCTAGTTGGGCACGGTGCTACACACTGGTAATTCCAGATGCTTGGCAGGCAGATGCATAAGGGTCCAAGGTTACAGACCAGCCTGGGCAACTTAGTGAGACCAACTCAAAATAAAGAAATAAAGGGGTTTGGGACATAGCTCAGTGGTAAAGCATCCTTGGGTCCAATCCTCAATACCAGGAGAGAACAAAAAAAAAAAAAAAAAAAAAAGAAAGAAAGAAAGAAAAGAAAAAATGCATTTTTCTACAAATGCATTTTCTAAAAATGCTGAATTTCTACATAGCACATGTATTATGTAAAATTCTAAATGGACTTGGCTTAAATTCATTTATATGTATGGATTTTGGAAGTACTGAAGACAAAACAAAGAGGATCTCCACCCTGAAAGGAAACAGGGTGCAGTAAGAACTGACTTAATTAATAATTAACGTGGTGGATTGGTGGTGACATCAGTGATAGAGAACTTTCCCAGCATGAGCAGTCATGGAGTTGATCCCCAGTAAGACAGAAACAAAACAAACTAACAAAAAACAACCAGTGATTAATGTGGAAGTATTCACTCCAAGTTGATTAATGTGTGCTGCCCACCTGATGCTCATTTTACTGGTACATCAGACAGTCAAAATTTATGTGTATACAAATGTTTTGAATTATCTATACATCCCAATATAGTTGACATATTCCCCAAATCACTATTTACTTGCACTATATTGCTTTGCCCATTTTATGGATGCAGAAACTGAACTCAAAGTAAGTTAGTTGGTATGTGAAATGGAGGGAAACACACAAAAGCAGGGTCAATACAACGCTGTTTGTCTTGAAAGTCCACTTTGCTCAGAGAATTGCACCAAGATAGAGTCAGGCCTCCTGTGGTGGCCCAAGCCTGTAATTCCATCACCTCAAGAAATTAAGGCTGGAGAATCACAGGTTTGAGGGCAGCATAGGCAATTTAGTCTCAAAATAAAAAGTAAAAAGGGACAAGGATATAGCTTGGTGGTAGAACACACCTGGAGTCAATCTCTAGTACTGAAAAATAAAAGAAAAAGAAAAGTCAGGATTTCTGGTGCAGCCAACTTTTCATCCTCTTTGACTCATTCTAGAAGTTCCATACTGAGGGCAGTTGACAGAATCACAAAAGGAAAATATTCCTTAAATGAGTTTTCTCAAGGCGCCCTTCACGTCCTTGTTGCCCAGGCTGTAGATGAAGGGGTTCAGCATGGGGGTGACCACAGTGCACATCACTGAAGCCACTGCAGTCTTCCTGGGAGAATCATTCAAGCAGCATAGCATGGTGGGTACAGTGTGAACTTTGGGTGGTTTGTATCCAGAGGTCTCCTGTGCAAAATTTGGGGACATTACTTACCCTCTCCTTGTCTCTGCTTCCCCATTTATAGCACAGGAGCTAAAAATCCTTTAGTTAAAATTAAAACTATATTCAAATAAAGGAACATAAAATAAATCACTGTATATAGACAAGGACTCCAGAAGCTGAGTCTAGAATGGATCTTACCAATGAAGGGGTCTGGGAGACACAGATGTGAGCTGTGGGTGTCTGCAGAGTCAGGAGTGAAGGGCGAGAATAAAGGGCTTTACTATTTGTTCTGGTAGTGCAAAGGGATCGCCTTTGAAATGAGGGAGAGAGGGAAATAAACTAACTGCTAGTAAGAACTACACCCAGGCTTCCTCCCCTCATCTGGAGAACTCAGAAAAGCCTTGTGTAAGTGCACTGTGTTCCTGTCAAAGAGAGCAGACCTTAATGCAAACCAAGCTCAGAGATAACTAAAGTGATTTCCTAAACATGAGAAATCTGATGCACTAGGAAGAGGTAAAATTTTGAATCTGCAGTCACTTGAGAGTCATCTGATGGAATTACAAGCATAACTAGACAAAACAATATCACACTGAGTGAATTTACCACCCATCTCATCATGATTGTACAACAAGGAGACCAGCAGAATCAGAAAATTTTACCCAGATTTGAACATGATTACCAGGTTGGACTGATTGGACATGCAGAGAACGATGCTTTCAATAACTGTAGAATACACATTTTTTTTTTGTGGTACTGTGGCTTGAACCCAGGACCCTATGCATGCAAGGCAAGCACTCTACCAATTGAGCTATATCCCCAGCCCAAATACACATATTTTGCAACCTCAGCTTCTTGGGAATCTGAAGCAAGAGGATTCCAAATTCAAGGTCAGCCTCGGTAATTTAGGGAGACTCTGTCCCCCAAAATAAATAAATAAATAAAAATAAAAAGTTCTGGGAGTGGAGCTCAGTGGTAGAGCACCCCTGCTTTCAGTCCCAGGAATCACACACACACACACACACACACACACACACACACACACCCATCAAAGAATGCACATTTATTTCATCACTACAGTTGGAACATGTATTCGTTTGACAACAGTGAGAATTAAGGCCATTTTTTAAATTCAAAGAATTAAAATTATAGGGAGAATACATTCTACAACCACAATGCAACAAGGTGAAAATAAGTCCCAACAGCAAGACGAGGAACCCTCCACGTGTTTGGATATGGGAAATGCATTTCTACATAATACACCTATTATAAAAGAAATAGCCATGGATTTTTTTTTCAAATGCATTTATCTCTAGACATTCTGGTAGAAAGGAGATCAAAATCAAGAGGAAGTTGACAATCACTGGAAGGGAAAGGTATGAAGTGAGAAGTGATGAAGTGTAAGTGGGGCTTACATTGGCAGGGCCTGGGTTCATTCCCCAGAACCACATTTGTCAATAAAGTTACATTAACAATTAATGTAGAACCAAGAACACGTCTACTATGATTTTACTAATACAAGATTGTTGATAAAATAACTACTTGTTTAATATTACTCGCTCAATGCAACCAATTTTTTGTATACATTTTAAAACCTCTCAATGCCCTTCTCAATGCCCTTAAAGTGGTTTTTGTGGGTGTGAAGCAAATGGTGAAGAATTTGAATTGGTCCCTTTATTATAGTATTGAAATTAAATCTACTTAATTTATTAAGTCATGTCCATGCCCTGATTTACATATATATATATATATATATATATATATATATATATCCATAAACATTCTAGTACTTGAAAAAAATTCATCACATATTTCTATAAGACAAATATATTCCCTAAATGATTACTAAGTGTGTGACATTTGTCTGAGCTGATGATAGATGTAGAAATTGAACCAAGAGTTGAAATTAGTTGGTCTGTGACATGGAGCAAAACATATTAACTGCTAGTAAGAACTACAGTTCTTAGGATTCCATACAAAGACACTTTCTTGAAAGCTTGTGTTTCACCATTTGTTTGCAAGGAAAACTGAATTAAGGAAGATTCAAGATTTCGGGCCTGCTGTATTGGTCTCCTTTTCATTGCTGTGACTAAAATATGTGAGAAGAAGAACATAGAAGAGAAAAAGTTCATTTTGGCTTCTTGGTTTCAGATGTCCAGTCCGTGGTTGGCCCACTTCATTAATGGGCCCTAGAGATGAAGAAATCATGGCAGAAGTGTGTGGCATACAAAAGCTCTTTAGCTTATGAAAGGCAGGAAGCACAGACACAGAGAGAACTAGGAACCAGAGAGAAAATAGAGTCTCCAGGGGCATCTCATTGAGTGTTCTACTTCCTCTAGCTATTAGCACTTGCCTAGTTACCATCCACTAATACATTGAAATTATTAATTCCCAATAAGGATTAACCCACCGATTTATTACCTAATCATTTCACCTCTGAATATGCCTKAATTGCTACATGAGCTTTTATAGGAACATCTCATATTTAAATCATGATAGAGACCCAATATTTCATTCTCTTTGCCTGTAGAAACCCACACTCAGGAAACTTAACAGGGTCACAACAATAAAAATGTCCCCAAGGTGAGTTTTCTCAAGGCGCCCTTCATGTTCTTGTTCCTCAGGCTGTAGATGAAGGGGTTCAGCATGGGAGTGACCACGGTGTACATCACCGAGGCCATGGCACTCATTCTGGGAGAATCAGTMACAGCAGAACTAAGATAAACCCCAATACAAGTCCCATAGAACAGGGAAACCACAGACAGATGAGTCCTACAGGTAGAAAAAGCTTTATACTTTCTATCAGTTGATGGGATTCTGAAGATGGAAGAGACAATTTGAGCATAAGAGAAAATTATCCCGGAGAGAGGAGCAATACCCAAGAAGATAGTTGCTAAAAATTCAACAATGTTATTGGTGAGAGCATCAGAACAGGCCATCCTGATGATCTGAGTCAGTTCACAGAAGAAGTGGGGGATCTGCAGATGTTTGCAGAAAGACAGACGCAGCAACATCAGAGTGTGCACCAGGGCATCCACAGTGCTGATGAGCAGACAGATTAGAACCAGCAGGGCACAGAGGCGGGGGTTCATGATGACCATGTAATGCAAGGGGTGGCAGATGGCCACGTATCGATCATAGGCCATCACGGTCAGCAGTAAATTGTCCATACATACAAAAACCATGAAAAAATATGCCTGAGTGAGGCAGCCTGCATAGGAGATGGCTTTGCTTTCTGTCTGGATGTTCAGCAGCATCTTAGGGACCACAGTGGAAGTGCTACCGATGTCAGCCAAGGACAGGTTGGAGAGGAAGAAGTACATGGGGGTGTGGAGGTGGGAGTCAGAGCTGACAGCCAGGATGATGAGCAGGTTCCCAAGCACTGTCACTAGGTACATGGACAGTAGCAGTCCAAAGAGGACGGGCTGCAGGGCTGGGTCCTCTGAGAGTCCCAGGAGGAGGAATTCTGCTGTAAGGGTTTGGTTTTCTGGTTTCATAGTTTTGAGGAGTCTGCTGCAAGAGAGGGACATAGTGACAACACAGCACAGAGAGATCAGTGCTGAACACAGTCCTTCRGTCTACAATGTGAATTCTAGTAATATTTAGAAAGTTCTCTTCAGGTTGTCCTACCCATTTCTTTCTTTAGCCCTTGCATTTTGAATAAATTCTRTGTATTATCATACATAAAATTAAATGTGAAAATTTTTCCAATAATAAAGTGCAAAACAAACGTGCTATTTTATGCTTGAGGAATTTAAAGTCTGAATGCAGACTTTAAATCTAGCTGAAACTATACTAGTTTTCTAATAAAGCACCAAAATGGGTGAAATCAATCATTTTTCATGGAATCCTAAGTTGTAGTTTACACTGATCTAATCTCAGATGTTGCTGAAAATCATGATCTCACGTACTCTACTGCCTTACTTTGACAAATGACATTRCTTGTCTATTTCTTGAATATTTCATATCATACAATTACATCAAGTAACTCCAAAGCATCTATGTAATTTCAATTACGTGCTCTAGACCTAGAATAGTTGCTCTTCTTTTTCAGATTTTSATTTGACATTTGTCATATATTTCTCCAGGAAGGGACATTTTCACAAAGCTGAATGAGTCTGTATTTTGTTTCATACTGACATGTCCCATCCAAAGTGAAAAATGCCCATCTCCCTCGACCCCCTTTTGTGGTGTTWTAGGGACTGACACAGGGGTGCTGAATCACGACCCACATCCAGTCCTGTTGATTTTATATTTTGAGACAGGGCCTCATTAGGTTGCCCAACTTGGCCTCCAGTGTGTGATCCTCCTGCCTCAGGTTCCTCTGTGAGGGAATTACAGGTGTGGCCCACTGTACTCAGCTCCCATCTGGTATTTAAAACAAGCATAACTTACTACTTTTGACGAGCTGATTAATTTTCTTTTATAATCACATCTTTCTCTCATTCCTTTGACTGTTACCAAACTTGGAGTCCATGGAGTAGATCATGTCTTGCAGACAAACACAGCTCAGGAATATTAGGAGAATACTGAATCCTGGAGGAGGTAAGCCTGGGGCAAGCCTTCAGTACTCACCAGCTTTGTCGCTCTACCTCAGCATCCTCGGAGGCTGATCTTGGTATGCAACAGAGGGCAGAGGACTGGGTGGTTCTTTAAGTGGTTATTACAAATATATGCACATGAATCCTCCATAACAAGCCTCAAGGGTCAGAGATATAAGACGGTGAGAATCACAGAGCTCTCAACACCCAGCCTCCCAGCTGCCCTCCCCAGGGAAGGCACTGGATTGGCTATTCTCCAGAAAGACAAAGACTGTGGCCCTCAGACTTAGTGCACACATCAGTTCCTGAAAGGCCCTGTTAGAACACACATCCTGGTCCTTCCCTAGACTTTCAGACTTCCTGTGGTCCTAGGAGTTCTGTTCTACCAAGTCTCTAGGTGATGCTGCTGCTGGCCCAGGAACTCCACCTGGAGAACCCCCAGTGTGGTGCACTGATTGTGAAGAGCCCGATGGATGGCAGTTCTTCTGATATCAGTGCCCAGAAGTTCCTAGTGTGAGCAAAGTTACAGARAAAACAACCATCAGGCCAGAGTCAAGGGCATTTGTTCTAGGACCTTTAGGTATTACAATAGCCAGAGACCCAGGGGACAGGAGCAACTGTAATGGGTTGTGACAGAAGGGGARGAGGACAGAATTTAAAAATGAGAAAATTGCAACTGTCCATGTTGTTCTCCACAAATTGGCATGGGTGGAAGCAGAAAGGCAACTGATAGGTCTGAACGTCTATTGGCTGTTGTTGATGATCAGCCGTGGACACAAGAGTAATCGAGGGTAAAAGTGCTGTAGCTGCTATGGCTTGGCCCAGTCCCAAATATTCAGTGGAGCAGATGCAAGGGCCCTCCACCCTGGAATCCTTCCCAGCTCCCTTTAAAGGGCTCTGAGACAAGGTGCAGTCACTCTGCAATCTAAGCCCACACATGTGCAATTCCAAATGTAGAGTTCCTTGCTGTGTGACCACAGAGGTTTGTCATTCAGTACTGGTTGGGGTAGGATGGCATGGTGGGGGCAATGGGGACTTTGAATAGTTTGGATCCAACATTTACTAACCCATACAGCTGTGCAACTTTCAGGACATTACTCAACTTATATATGACTCTGCTCCTTCACCTGTAATAGGAGAACTCAAAATAGATCAACTAACAATTAAAAGCTGTGTTTTATTGTTTTTTTATTTGCTCTTTTTTAGATACATGATAGATAGTAGCATGTACTTTGACATATTATAMATACAAAGAGTGTAACTTATTCTAATAGGAAATATGTTTTTAAAAAGGCATTAAAAAATAAACAAACAACTGGTCATTGTGGTACACGCAGTTCAAAGTCAGCCTCAGCGACTTAGTGAGGTTCTAAGCAACTTAGATGTTGTCTTGAATAAATGAATAAATCAATAAATGAATARGRGCTGGGGATGTAGAATAGTGGTTAGCACTTCCAATGTCAATTCCTGCTACTAAAATAAGAAAAAAATGTAGAGACAAGGAGAAGGGAGGTAAATCAATAGTAAACTGAGCTCTTGTATCTGGGTTGCATGATAAATGGCTTTTTTTTTCAGATTTGTATGTTTGTATAAATTCCAGCAGAAATGAGGACAAAAGGAAGAGGAAAATCAAGAGAAGTGAAGACTTGAATTAATGAATATTTAGTATGGTGGGCTAAGACACAGACCACACACAAATAGTACATTTCTGATTATGTGGAGGCAAGTAACTGTGCACCCCAAGTTCACAACTGCGGTGCTGCAGTTGCAAGAATGACTGTGGAATTTGTGCTGAAGCAGCCACATTGCTGTTTATCTTTATTCCTTTGAATTGTCTCAGACATTTCAGATATTCCTCAAATCACCATTAAGTGGGTGATACTTTTTCTAAGAATTTTATAAGGATAAAAATGAAAATTAGGGCTGGGGATATAGCTAATTTGGGAAGTGCTTGCCTTGCATGCACAAGGGCCTGGGTTCAATACCCAGAGCCATCAAAATAATAATAAGAAAAGAAAAGAAAAGAAAAAAGGAGCATTTAAAAATGAAAATCAGATTTGAGTTAGTTGGTAAGTAACAG